CCGGCCCCTCCCCCAGAGGAGATCTCGGACCTGACGGAGCAGCTGGGAGAAGGAGGGAAGAATGCTCACGAGCTGGAGAAGGTCCGCAAGCAGCTGGAGGCTGAGAAGCTAGAGCTGCAGTCGGCCCTGGAGGAGGCTGAGGTGAGCCTGGTCCTGCCTCACCCCTACTTCATACCCACTCCTACCCACCCCTTCTTGTCTCTGACTCCCCATTCTTCTTCACCAGCAGGTGATACTCACCCCCAGACAAAATTTATTAGCTCCTTTCTCTCTCAGTCTGCCCACTAGCCCAATACCATGACTGCCTCTAAAGCCAAGGTCTCCACCAAGGAAAACATCACCGTGTGATCATGGGCCGAAAGGTTATAAACCTACCGTGTTTATAAAGTTGAAATATGATCATCATCATAACCCCTCAGACAGTAGGTGGGAGTGTGGGCTTCAGAATCAGGCAGATCTGAGTTTGGAACTTGGCTTCAGGACCTCTGCTGTGTTACTGGGCAAGTTTCTTAACCCCTCTGTACCTTAGTTTTCTTATTTTTTAAATTTTTTTTAAGATTTTATTTATTTATTTGACAGAGAGAGATCACAAGCAGGCAGAGAGGCAGGCAGAGAGAGAGGAGGATGCAGGCTCCCTGCCAAGCAGAGAGCCCAATGCGGGGCTCGATCCCAGGACCCCGAGATCACGACCCGAGCCAAAGGCAGCGGCCTAACCCACTGAGCCACCCAGGCGCCCCAGTTTTCTTATTTTTGATGGAACTAATGGTGCATACCCAATAAGATTTTATGCATAATTGTTATGAAGATTAAATGAGGTCACAAACTTAAAAATTTAATACATGTTTCCAACATGCGTGTGTCCCCCCGCCCAATTTGCTATTGCTACTGTTCGTTTTTAGAGAACCTAGAGAGGGCCCTGAGTTTGGGGGCATCTAGCTTTTTTTCACTGAAAGGTAAGTGACCCAGGAAACAAAAATGAAGTTTGGAGTGTGTGGTTATGAAAACCTCCCCCTTTCCTATCAGACTTAGAAGGTCAGGATGGTGTGGTGTTAGTCCTAGAGGGCAACTGGCACTGGTGACGTCCAAGGCCTTTCCTTGACGGAGGAAACCCGGGCCATCCTGGGATGCAGGTCCCACCTCCCGTGTCTTTCCCCGGGCTTTCCTCTCTAAGCCACAGTCCTGGCCGATACCCAGCACCTCCTTGACCTTCCTCCCATCCTCGCCCCGTGCCCTGACCGTCCGCTTCCAACCCTCTCACCCCACCCTCTGCCAGGCCTCCCTGGAGCACGAAGAGGGCAAGATCCTGCGGGCACAGCTGGAGTTCAACCAGATCAAGGCCGAGATCGAGCGGAAGCTGGCAGAGAAGGACGAGGAGATGGAGCAGGCCAAGCGCAACCACCTGCGCGTCGTGGACTCGCTGCAGACGTCCCTGGACGCCGAGACGCGCAGCCGCAACGAGGCCCTGCGGGTCAAAAAGAAGATGGAGGGCGACCTCAACGAGATGGAGATCCAGCTCAGCCAGGCCAACAGGACAGCCTCCGAGGCCCAGAAGCACCTGAAGATTGCCCAAGCCCATCTGAAGGTAACAGAGTGGGGGACTCCCTGAAGGGAGCTGCCTGCAGGTCTGGTGAGGGCCCTGGGCTAACACACATGAGAAAGGGGGAGCCACTTACCTCCTGGGCTTGGAGGCTTGATGAAAGAGAACCAATCAGACCCTAAGCATGTCCTGGACCAGCCCAGCCTCCTAACCTAGACAACAGAGGAGGGGCCGTGGCCCTGGCACTACACTTGACAGAGAAGGTTTGTGAACCTGGCATAGGGTGTGTCAGACCATGACTAGGAAGCCCTGATGGGATGGGTGCAGGTCTCCAACATGCGTCCCTCCACCCCACCCCAGGACACCCAGATCCAGCTGGACGATGCGCTCCATGCCAACGACGACCTGAAGGAGAACATCGCCATCGTGGAGCGGCGTAACAACCTGCTGCAGGCTGAGCTGGAGGAGCTGCGGGCCGTGGTGGAGCAGTCCGAGCGCTCTCGGAAGCTGGCGGAGCAGGAGCTCATCGAGACCAGCGAGCGGGTGCAGCTGCTGCACTCCCAGGTGAGGCGGTCGGGACCCCACGGAGATGCCCCCAAGGGGCAGAGCCCAGCCTATTTACAGAAGTTCTGAACCAGATGCCCTGAGTGAGCGTGTCCAACTGGGATGGCAAATCACTTGGTTTCCTGGGCCATCTCTCCTCTGCTGGTGGGGACTGTTGGAAACACTACCTTGAGAAGGGGGCATACACTTCAAAGCTAATGATGTCATGATTGGTTGGTGATGTCCACCCAAGTCACAAGTCTAGGAGTCGTGCCATGCTTGCTGTAATCTGGCATCCCTGATCTAGAGGACAGCCTCCAGCTTGCTCTGTAAAGAGGAGATCTGGGGAGTTTAAAGAAGCACGAATGCATCCATACGCAAACCAAATTCTCAAGGGAGCACCATCATTCCGCAATCCCACACACCCTGTCTCCAACTGTGCTCTGCCATGAGTTTTTGTGTCCATCTTCTGGCAGGGCCCATCTTCTGGCAGGACTTTTCTCTGTAATCTAGTACATGTGGGAATGACATCATGCACTGACCGCCTCCCTTCTTCCTTACTCCACTATATTCTTTCTGTAACTACAATCATTTCTAGGATATTGTCCTGGTAAAAAAGTTTTCCCACTTTCCTTGGAATGTTTTCATGCTCCTGAAGAGACACGTCACTAAAGATGTCAGAAGTAGAACCGTAGGCCCTTTCTGGTTTGAAGTCTTTCTTCAAAGCTGAGTAATTTTAGATATAACATCTAGAACATATCTGCTTTCATAGGAAAAGGAAAAACAGATACAAAACCTGGGATATACAATAACAAAGATACAACAAATTCACAAGGAATAAACAAAAGCAAGACTTAAAAAAAAATAACTAGTTATTTGGGGCATCTAGGTGGCACAGTCCATTAATCCTCCAACTCTTGGTTTTGGCTCAGATCATGATCTTGGACTACTGGGATCGAGCCTCACGTCAGGCTCTGTGTTCAGCATAGAGTCTGCTTGGGATTCTCTCTCTTTCTCCCTCTTCCCCTCCCACTCATGCCCATAGCCTCTCTCTCAAATAAACAAATAAATCTTTAACAGTAAATAATAAAAAATTAAAAATGACTAGTTTAAATTTTCTGCAGCTAAAGGTATAGAATCTAGTAACAAAGTATATATTGATCATTTCCTCTACCTATATCTAGAACACCAGCCTCATCAACCAAAAGAAAAAGATGGAGTCAGACCTGACCCATCTCCAATCGGAAGTAGAAGAGGCGGTGCAGGAGTGCAGGAACGCCGAGGAGAAGGC